GATCATGCAGAAAGGTGAAATGTCAAGCTGGAGGGAGGTTACTAGTGGAATTCCTCAAGGAACTATCTTGGGACCAAATCCTATAAACATTTTAATTCATGTCCTTGCAACAAAAATTGGGCGTGTGCTAATAAAATCTGCGGATGAGACAGTTGGGAGGTATTGCCAATATAGAGGAAAACTGGAATATCATACAGGATGTTTTGGATAATCTTGAAAACTGGAGTAATAGAAATGGGGTGATATTTAATAGTGCAAAGTGAAAGGTCATGCACTTATGGCTAACAAGAATTTTTCTATAAGCTGGGGACATGTTAGTCCGAAGAGACAGGAGGAGGAGGAGGAGGAAGAGAAGGAGAAAGACCTGGGTGTATTGGTCAATCACAGGATAAGTACGAGCCACCAATGTGATGCAGTTGTGAAAAAAACTAATATGCTCCTAGGATTCATCAGGAGCGGTATTTCCAGAGGAGACAGGAAAGTTATTATACAAGGCACTGATGAGACCTAATCCAGAATATTGTGTGCAATTCTGGTCTCCCATGTTTAAGAAAGATTAATTCAAGTTGGAACAGGTGCAGAAAAGGGCTACTAGGATGACCATGGGAATGAAGAACCTACTTCACAAGAGGAGACTTAAGGAGCATAACTTGTTTAGCCTAACAAAATGAAGGCTGAGAGGAGATATGATTGCTTTCTATAAATAAATCAGAGGGATAAACATCAGCAAGGGAGAAGAGTTATTTAAGTTAAGGGCCAATGTTGGCACAAGAACAAACAGATATAAACTGGCCATCAACAAGTTTAGGACTGAAATTAGACAAAGGTTTCTAATGAGCAGAGGAGTGCAGCTCTAGAACAGCTTTCCAAGGGGAGCAGCAGGAGCAAAAAAACCTAACTTATTTCAATACTAAGCTTGCTAAGTTTATGAAGGGAATGGCAAGATGAAGTAGACCGCAACGGCACTTGGCCCATCCAAGACTGCTAGTAGCAAATATCTGCATTGGCCGGAGATGGGACATTAGATGGCAAAGGCTCTGAATTACGAGAGAATATTCTTTCCCGGGTATCTGGCTAGTGGGTCTCACATATGCTCAGGGTCTTATGATCATCATATTCAGGGACAGGAAGGAATCCACCCCCCTCTCATCCCTAGTCAGACTAGCAGAGACCTGGGGGGTGGGTATGTGTGATTGGGGGGGGTTCAACTTCCTCTGCAGCATGGGGCACAGGTCACTTCTTGGTTTGAACTAGATTAAATGGTTGATTCTCTGTAACTTGAAATCTTTAAATCAAGATGTGACAATTTCTATAAAGCCCCATAACCTCTGGCTGAGTTACTGGAGTGGGTCGGTGAGGTTCTGTGGCCTGCGATGAGCAGGTGGTCAGGTTAGACAAGCATGATGGTCACTTCTGGCCTTAAAGTCTATAGGAATACATCACTCTGGGATGTCACCAATATCAAAAAATCAGAGGTTAATAGAAACCACTGGTCCCACAGGTTTCTGGAAAGTTATAAAAGTCTGATTCCTCCTCTCCTCTCCCTCCCCCCCCGCCCCCTTCTCACAACATCTGCTGGCAAAGTTACTCCCTGATTACCCTTTCTTCAGTAGTCTAATCAGTGGGAACGCTGAGCTGTTTATGTTTAGCTCAGTTCGTTTTCTGGTTTTGCAGTTGAGCTGTAGCTCTACAACTGGGCATGTGAGGAGTGAAGCCAAAAATAACCTTACTACAGATCAGTTCTTATGGACCATACATATAGTAAAACTTACAGTCGACTATCTAATAAATCATAAGTGACTACATCCATTATGCATCATAAGAAAAAAATCTGACTGCAAGAACTTAAAGGAATAAATTCGTTAAGTGGTTTCAGCTCTGCTCACCGGACAAAACTACAATCAGGATTTAAAGTCAATACCTGAATAGGGATTTCTGAACAGTAACTGAAGAACCCAAGACTTTCAAATATCCAAAGCTTAGGTTAAATCAATTGTTTACGTTTTGCCCAAGTTTCTCCCATAATTCTTTGGCCACTAAAATTTACTAAAGATTGAGAGGTGCTCAGATACTACAGTAATGGGAACCATATAAATACATGAGACAGACCTTATAAATTTAACCAAGTGCACTCAGTCATTATGCATTATTACATGCGTTATTTAACTTAAGTAGTATCCATTGAAAGCCTTTAGTCTAGGGTTTAAAATCAATTCTAAGGTTGCATTTTTAAAAGATTATAAAAATGGCTTGGATGAAAGCTGCAGTCTGAGTGGGAGAAGAGACTTCATTGGAAGAAACTTACATGTTTCCATTCACATCAGGACTACAAAGTTTCTTCAACAAGATCGCTGTAATAGCCAAGCACTTTTAAAAATTATTCATATGAAAATGTAAGATTTAAATTGAATAATCTTTAATTTTAAATTATCTTATTAAAAGTGGTTGATGGGATCGGAGAAGGCAAGAGCTGTAAAATTCAGACAGCTTTGAACCACTGCTTCTTTCACCTGACAGAGGTGGGTCTGGCTAAAAGTTAAATGGCTTCCCCACTGCCTACTAATTCCCTTCATCTCTCCATTCAGCTGGATCTGGCAGCAAACAAAGCAGATTTTCTAAAGTAGATCAAACCACATTTGCTAGCCCAGATAAGCTATTCAGCAGGAGCATGGCTTGAAAGACCAAGGCAAAGCTAAGCAAGAGAATGGGATCATAGTAGTTTCAAAGGAAAACAGCTCAAGCAGGTCCTCCTTTGCCACCATCAGCTGGGAGAGAAAGAAGAAAAACGGGAGCGAAGCAGGTTTAATGGGAACATAAACACACCCTCAGACATAAGCAGATTTTTATGTGTGTCTGTGTGACAGAGATTAATAATTATGCTTAAATGCTTAATTGACTTTTTCCTCAATAAACTATTTTATAAGTGGAACAAACTCCCAAGGTGCACATTAATCAGCTAATTTAAGCACATCTTGGCTGTGTTTGAGGGACTGCTGTGCTTCAGCACACCCAAGATGTGCGTATATTGGCTGATTAACACTTGTGTGCTGTTGCTTGCATCACTAGTAAATTAAGCTTTTATCTCCTTAAACTCGTATAATCATACTACTTGAAGAGTAACAGCTCCTACCACAAAACAGACATCACTATAAACAATACATCCAGGGACACATCTAGTTTGTTCCTCTTAAGCTCTATGATAAACCAATTTTCACTATTCCCTATGCCATGTCTGCTAATTCACCAGTAAAAAAGAAGGAGGCTTAAACATTAAAACATTTTGGCTAGTAGCTTTTGTAACTGATCAACTTAAAGGATGTGTATCTATCCAGTTTTCAAAATGAATTTAAAATTTTATACTACACCCGCCCCCAAGTCCCTCTGACAATTCTTCTGATTCTGCAGTGACATTTTCCCCATCATTTTAAATGTACTTCCTTTATCCTTTCTGTGAAAGGCCCATCTGTCAAGGAGAACTGACCATGTACAAAGTGCAGTCAAACTCAAAGTGGGAAAAAAAACCCTGAAAAGAAACCTCTCTTTCATTACAGTAATCATAAGTGTTATCTGCAGAACAGCAAGCAAGATAGTTCCAGGCAGTTTTCAATTTGAGAAGCAATCTCTCAGAAGGGGAGCATAAAAGTAAGCATATTTAGATTCATTCAAAACAATTTTCTTATAAGCTTGAAGAAAAATAACCCCAACAAAACAAAGCTATGAGTCATGATCAGCCAAGTCGTTCCCCCAACCTCTCCCACCAAAGTGTTTTTTAATATAGGATTCCATTTGTATTATAAATACCAGTCACTTTGGTATCTCATTTAACTCTAAGGGGTGATTTCAAAAGCACTTGAGTGTTCCTAACTCGCTTGGGTGCTTTTGGAAATCTCACCCTTAAGAGTTATACAGCAATTAGCAAATAAACCAATACAGCATATTGCTTTGAGCCAAATTGAGGAAAAAAATAAAGGTACCGTGTATAGAATATCAAAGCATCTTAACTTTTAGGGTTACACTTATACAAACAGTAAGACTTATGAAAGCCGTCTTAAGCAATTGTTTTACAATATTATACAAAAGGGGACTACACAAGTGCAAAATACAGAGCAAGATCTTGCAAGTTAAAGGCCGCCATTGGGGGAAAAAACAACAACAACAACACATTGATTCAAAAGTGACTGGCATAAGTTCTAGATTTCCAAGAAATTAGGTTTTTCAACTTTAAGAAAGTTACTATAACTAAAACCTGAACATTTCGTCACTAATGCACTTCTGATGATTTAAGATTAAAGTGTAATGGAATTGGAAGATCTGGTATGGACATTCATTATCGGAGAGCAAAGTCTTTGCTTTCTTTCATAGCCTGCCACTGTAATTTTAAGTCTGTTTATAATTTGTATATAATGTCTGTCCAGCACAGAATTCAAGATTCTATTCTAATTGAACTATAACTATTTGTGGAAGTAGCAAGGTAATTAGCAAATAATGCAGACAGACTTTTGGGGAGGCACACCCTTCTAGAGCAGTATTCCATACTGACTGTTTACAATAGCAGATTTAACTATTTAAATATAAAACATTAAAAACATATAGTGCTGTGCCAAACATTATGATTTAACATTCTAAATAGCTATGATCTCCAACTTAGCACAACGGAACTACAATTGTCAAACAGATTGGAAATGAACATAGCATTTTATTTTAAAAGTTTCCGTAGCATGTAGCTGTGATTCAGGAAAGCATTTAAGCATCTGACTTCAGTGGGACTTAAACACATGCTTAAGCATTCTTCCTGAATAGGGAGAGACTTCAGCACAAATTTAAGTGCTTTCTTGATTCATAGCCCAAGATTCCATACATTTCTCCACGCATTAAAAACTCTTGTAACAAAGTAAATTAAATATTTATCAAGGTATCTGGATCTATAAAAGAGAATAGATGTGTCCTACACATTTCTCTAAGTTGTTTCCTTGCTTACATAACTGTAAAAAAAGACTTACATGGACAAGTTAGGAGATGGAACCCTACTATCATCAGCTAGGTTCCCAAGGTGGCTCGGCGTTGAAGTCGAACTGTTCTCTATAAAGCACTTCTCCTAGGCCTTCTGGATAGTTGTAAACCTGATCAGAGAGTTTGCCCTGTAGGAAAAATACATAGATAAATAAAATTGATAACTTAGGAGTAAACACCACTTTACTGTCAAACATGGAACTTCTGTTCTTAACTGCACTTTTAATATGGACTGCTGTCTCCTGTTATAGTAATCTACAACAATAATTTACAGAGCCTATTTTTCAAAGCTGAGTGCACACACAAATGAACATAAGGAAGTCAAATTGTCAGTGACATGTTTAACTATCAATGGATGTTATCCACCTTATGGCCTCTTGACATTTATGCCTCCCTAGAGCCTCCTCCCCTTACTGTTTCACTTAGGGTGACCAGATAGCAAGGATGAAAAATCGGGACAGTGGGTGGGGTTAATAGGCACCTATAAAAGAAAAAGCCCCAAATATCAGGACTACCCCTATAAAATCGGGACATCTGGTCACCCTAGTCTCACTACAGTAGTGGTCGTCTGCCATATTCTTCAGGAGAGCCTCAATCCCCTCCCAAAGGGGCTCTGAGAAGCACAAGAGGTCAAAGCAATGTGTGATGATTGAAATTGGGACCACGGGCAGTGGATACAAGGACAAAACGTAACAATCCGTGGGTGAGGGAGATGGTGGAGAATTAAACTTTAGTATGGAGTGACATAAGGAGGTATGGGACTGTAATGGTCATAAGGTGGTACACATGGAATTGAATAGTCATTTTTGAGGGGATTAGCAGAGTCAGAAATGGTGCAAAGAGCACCACTGTTCTGATGGCCCACCTATGATGAACTACAGGTTTGTTTCTCTCTCAAAGACCACATTTAATTAATCTAAGTAGAGATGCTGAATGCACCACAAGTCCCCATAGAATCAAAAACATATTTCCCCAATTTCTACCCAGCTCTAATCAGCCCCCACCCTCAAGTGGGTACATATCTTCTAGGCCCTCCTACAGTGCTCTCACTTCCTCCCCACCCACCCCCATAACAGAGAGTGGTTGGGGATGTATTCTGGGGGCAAAGTTGGGGGCCTTGAGCTATGGGGAGGCCAGAGTCTGTGCATCAAGAAACTGGCAATTTAATTGGCCCTTAAAGGGCAAAGCTATTAAATTCAGATCCAAAAGTCAAACTAAAGTCTTATCTACAGAGGGACAGCAAAGAAAATTAATTCAAATTAAAGGTGTGAAAGTGGCATAGTTAAACTGCATTAAACCACTGCATGAACACATTCATTCTTAATTAAAGTGGCCTTAGTGTGGTTTATTTCAATTCACCTTGAAAGTGAATTTAATCCTGTTTAGTTTAATTCACTTCCAAAGTGAATTGAAATAAACCAAACTAAGGCCTCTTCCATTCTGAGTAACAGCATCCACACAGGAATTTAATGCAGTTTTACTAATACACTTCAAATTCACACCTTTAATTTTCTTAGCTGTCCCTATGTAGACATCCCCTTAGGTGTTAAAATATGGGGTTTATATACCTGAGTTCAATTACAATAGTCATTTCAAAAAGTGCTGTAATGGGTAACAGTGGAGTTTAAACCAGCCCTGCTTACACAAACTGAATTCTTCACAGGTACAAACTAAGAGTGGCTGTCACATTTTAAAATAATTGAAATAACCAATGTAAGCAAACAGGTCATCTGGAAACCTGGGGCATGCGGAGATTAAAAAGTGTGTGGTAATCCATGGTATAAAATACAGAGTACTACTGATATTTAATAAAAGTAAATCTATATTAAACTGAAAAATTTGAATACATATGGGCTACAAGAAATGGCTATCCTTTATCACATAATGGTCTTTTCAATCATAGCAGTTGCTTATATATGTATTGGCCAGGATAAGTGAGCAAACACAGGAGAAGTATGCTAGTTCACATTACATAATTTGCACTCCAAACGTATCATCTTTCTTTCCATCCCAGCAAAGGCATAACAGCAGTGCTGTAGTGGAATCTCATTAATAAAATGTCATTACTTTTACAATACAAACTATAGAACATTTACTAATACAGTTATGAATATTAAAACTGAACTACACTTGTTAAAAATGAATTGGGATTCCTTACTTCTAGCTGACTGAAAGTTACTTTTCATGTTCAGTTAACTTTTTTCCATTGCAATTCTTTAAATTAAAGCTAAGCCAATAAAATTAGCTCTCAAACTATTGGCATAAGAAATATTTGTTTTAAAATCAAGTGTTAATTTCACAAAAGCAAAATGTTTAAATATCTACACTATTTTTGGATGCTGTTCAAAAATGTGAACATCTGTATGCTGCTTTCAAACTGAGAACACTTGCAGCACAACAAGTCTTTTAAAAACAGGTGTTGCAAGCAGAAAAGATGACCTTTACTGCAGTACATAAAAGGCCACAATACAAGCAAATATGACCTGCAGTACAGTCCAAATGAATTTTGCCACATGCTGCGAGGGGGGGGAGGGGAGGGAGAGAGAGCAGGAGAGCCAGTTTCCTTGGAGCTAGAATAAAAATTGACAATATTCCCTAGCGATAACTTTGTGTTGTGTTTTAGAGGAATGCACTGGAATTTTACTTTAGCATTTTAAGTCCTAAACTCAGGATTTCCCCCACACACACCTTGTCAGTGATCTCAACTAATATATAGAAAGTACAATTTCACTTCTCATGCATGAGTATTTAACTGTATCAAATATCCATAATGCTGTTCTATCCTTTAATGAAGTCTGACTTTTGAAAGAATTTTATTTTAAGAGGTAAAGAATTTAATGAAAATGTTCAGTTTTCCAGATCAAAATAGGACAGTGCTAAAATGTCAAGTACTACATGCTAACATTTCAAGCAGAGTTGCCACATCCCTAATTCATCTGGGCAGCATAGATGAATTAAAGGAATTGCCTCATGTCCAGACTGAAATGCTTGATTCTTCCCTATTTTCACTGAAAGTCTCAAAGTGGCAATAAAAAAAATTGTTCTTTACCAAAACAAAAAGTTTTCAGTCGAGGAATTTTTTTTGCAACTAAATGCCTAGTAGCTGTACTTTGCCTTATAACACTTATAAAATCATCCATTGTCCATATCATCTTATGAACAGGAAAAACTAAAAGGCACTGAACTAAAATATCCAGGGCCCAAACCCCTACAATCCAGAATCATATGACTCACAGCACTAGCTGGCACACTTAGCAGAGGCAGCATGAAGTGCATGGGTCATGGAAACAGAACTATCCCTGTTGTCCCTAGATGCTTTCAAGATCAGTGTTGAGGCATGCTGGTAGGACAGCGTGTGGGAAGTTTGCCTTCCTTGCTGCCCTGCAGATCAGGGTGGCTTCTGTTGCCAGAGCTATCCATCTGACCCCTTTCACCAACACTAAATCTACAATTACTTTTAAACTGAAGTTTATGTCTTATGTAAATTAGCTCATTTATTTACATAAATAATGTAATGTCCCTAATCCCCCCCCTCCCCCCAACGTGACACTCCTAATCCCCCTCTATGGTAAGAATGGTGCAATTTATTACACAGAATATTCACATCAGCATCAAGCCCACTAAGGAAAATATTTGAGACTCAAAACTAGCCAAGGTATGCAGTCCCCTTTTAATTTTACAGTGTAGGCTGGGGCAGCCAGAGGTACAGCTTATTGTAGCTCAGTTTCTCCAATACAGAAGGATTCCCCCGGAGGAGAAACATTTACATTACTATGTTACTACCAAATCCTGTCCTAGCCTCAGAAGCAGCCGCAATCCCCTCCTCCCCACAGACTTGGAGTTCAGTGCTGCCTGTCTGACACCCTGCTGGGAAATAGAGAGAGATGGCGGGCAGAAGAGCGCGCCTGCTGGAGCTGCTTTGGGGAGAATTGCTGTTCTGTGTACATGAGGCAGAGCAGGGAGGGGGCATTCACTCTTGCACTCACTGCAGTCTGAGACACATGGGGGCGGGGGGGGGGGGGGGGGAGAATGCAATGTCGCAAGCAGCCGCGACGGCAGCAGCATTGTTCGCATGGTGACAGGAAGGAAAGAACCAGACTGGACCAGTCCAGACTGGAACAAACCCCTCCTCCCCTTCCACCACCATTATTCACGACAAAAACCGGCTGAAATGCTGTTGTGTCTCACATTCATCAAGGGAAGAACAGCAAGCAAGTGCATTATCTCTAGAGCTGGCAACCCTCACAAACTCGGGGGAGGGGAGAAGAATTGGGGCAACACTTCAGCCCACTCGCATATAAGCATGCAGTGTAAAAGAACAAGTCAGAGCTCTGAGTAGGGGCCCAGAGAAAGGAAAGCCAGAGCTAATCCATTTCATAATTGTTATACAGCCACTTCCCACAGCTACTGACACAATGCAGCTGTATTCCACTGGGGCTACCCAAACAAGCTATACTGAGCCACCAGAGACTGCTGTAGACAGGGTCTGAATTGCAGCAAGTGGGAAATCGCTGTAACAGTACTTTTGCTCCTGTGTACTGTCACTTCTTGTTGTGCAGGATGTTGCACAGCAGAAGATGCATATCAAAAAGGATTGAAAGAGGTTTAGACTTGCTTTCCTCTGATACCCACAATTTGGATCCACCCTTATTGCAGTTACACATTTGTTCTGACTACTAAGTCAACCAAGCTTATATTTTGTATGGATGGCAGTGTGCTAACAGTGAGAACATGAGTCTTCCAAACCCAATCACCTCATACACATGTGCGCACACTTGCAAGCATAATACAGTCCCCACCATGTTGCCTCTACATGTGTGTATAAAAAGCCCTACAGTTCCCTCACCATCTCCCCTTTGCATGCTCACGGCCCACTTCACAATCTGGCTCTTCTCTCTGCTAGCACCCCCTTCCAATGAAGCAGGTGATGGGACCATGACACAAACACACCCAGCTGACACCACTCTGAGAATACACTGACAGCCAGACCCCCTTTGTACACATTCTAACAGCCGCTGAGCAGTGACTCAGTCCTCCTTCATACACTTTCCACAGGCCACCACTGTGACCGAGAAGGACATAACCAATCAGACCAAAAGGACTCCCAAGGCAGCCAAAACAGCGAAAATGGGCTTAACCGAGACACTTCCAAAAAAACTGGTGGGCAGCAGCAACCCGGTTACTGTTAGCCTGACAGACTGGTGGAGGGGAGGGGAGAATGTGTGTGTGTGTGTCCTTGAGGCAACAAGGGAAGGAGAGATTGTGTCTGAGGTTGAGCGTGATTGCTAAGCAGGATAGAGGGGGTACAGAAGAGCATTCTTTACCCACTGGCATATCAACATTAAGTCAATGTGCCCAAGACATTAAGACCCCCAGGAGAGGGCTAGAGTAGGCCACTTGTGCAATATCCTCAACCTCTACTCCTCCCTCTGCTGCCACACGAGCTTCACACACGCCCCTGTCACAAACCCCATTAACAAAGGCAGAGCATTAAGATCTCATTGGGGGTTACCAACTGCCAGCACCCACAACATGGCTCAAGTGGTGGGGATAGGAAAAAAGATGTGACACCACAACAGAACCCGGATGGATAGTCACAGTTACACAGACATACAACATGGCCTCTGAGAAGCGAGAGGAGAGTCTTTGCCATGCTACAAACACCCTCTTCTGCTCCCTTGCCCTCCTCTCCTGTCTAGTCAGGCCTTCTTTACTGATCAAAACATCTAGTTACAAACCTATTTCCCTATGCCCCCCAAAATGGCATTCTGAGTGTCAGTTTACTAACGAGAAAGAGAATCAGTGAAAACCCACATGGGAGGGAAACAGCACTACTGAGCCAGGGCAGCTCTGACAAGGGGAAGTGATGATGAAACAGCTCCTGCTACAAGGACTATTCCTGGGGGGAGATGGGGAGGGATCTTTTCACTGTTCTTAAGTAGCCAGGTCAAGAGACTCCCCTCTCCTCCCCCATCCCCAAAAAAAGGGCATCGAGCAACGCAGAAGCAGCTGGAGGAGGAGTCTGCTATTACTGCTAACTGACCCACTTCAGACTGAGACACATCACACACAGCCACCCAACCCCCTCCACAGGAATCCGCCATGTTAGAGCAGCTGCTGAGCCCCCTTACATAGTCACATTTGGGTCTGTGGCTAGTCTCCTCTCTCCCTCCCCCCCCCCGAACCAGATACATCAGCCACCGTACAGCAGCCCCTAGATCCCCGCTCTCTCCCACACACACCCGGGTGTCCGCCATGTTCGAGGAGCAACTGCTGAGCACCCTCCACACACACACACACACATTCCCTTGCTAAATGTGCAACAGCACCTCACTCCTGCCCCGCTCTGTGAGGACACGCCAGCCCCGCATTCAGCGGCAGAGAGCCGCAGCAATGCGTACCGGGGGAGGGGGACAAATCTGACTCATCCCCTTCTTCCCGACTACCGCTGCTGGAAAGGGGTGCTGCCCACGGCTCCCCCAGCCCGCCACTGTTGCCGAGAACCTGCAGCTCACGCCTCCCACCGCCGCTGCTCGGGGCGGGGGGTGGCCGGAGGTCCGCGGATCCCTCCTGAGGATAGAAGCGGTGCTTGGATCCCCCGCCCCCTCCTCATGCGGGGAATGGGACAAACAGCCTCCGCTGTTTCTGGGGGGCTGGAGCCTGCGAAGCCCTAGGAACTTCCCCTCCACCAGCCGGGAGGTCTGGGACCAAAAGCCCGCAGAGCCCGGCTGGGCCCGTCCCCCCCCCAAGTCCTAGACTTGGGAGGGCGTCTGCTTCGCAGCTGACAGTGTTGGAGGTGTGGGGGTCTCTGCTCGCCCCAGTCCCCGAGGCTCTCGCTTTCCACCCCCACCCCGTGGCCATACTAAAAAGGAATGTACCAGCATTTGGGGGTGTCTCCCCCACCGGCCCCTGCACGGCAATGCGCAGTGCCGGAGGGCAGGGGGTCGGCCTGCACACACCCCACGCCGTATCCCCGGGGGTGGGGGGCTCTCCCTCCGCCCTGCCCCCAGCCCGGGTACTCACGTGCGACAACGGCCCGAAGGATTTGGTAAATCGTCTTCGCTTTTTAGGCGGAATTTTTAAAGAGGGATGTGGGAACCTACAGCAGAAATACAGGCGGCGGCAGCGGCGCCCTCCAGGGCCATAGGCTGCGGGGGCGGCCGGCGGGGGGAGCGCAGGGCAGCGCTGGGACGGCGGGGCACGGGCGCAGAGAGACGGGCAGGCCGGGAGCGCGAAGGGAGCGAGCCGGGCAGAGCGGGGTGGTGGCGGCCAGCCGGGCAGGGACACGCGCAACAACGCCGAGCAGGCAGGAAAGAAGAGGAGGGGGCGCCGCAGCCCGGCACTTATAGGAGGAGCGGGAGGCGGCGCCACACGTCACAAGCATGGGGGAGAGGGCGGTGTCTGCCGCGGGCCAAGCCGGTAACCCGCATCTCCCGCCTCCACTACCCAAGGCACAGCGCTCTGGGCGAGCCTGGGGCGCATGCGCCGGCAGAGAGCGAGAGCGAGAGCGCGGTGGAGAGCCGGCCTCTGCCCCTTGCCCCTCAGCTACCGGCTGGGCTTCCCTTTGCCTGGCGAGGCCGCGAGAGCGCCCAGCCAACAGGTGGGAAACTTGAGGTAACCCAGCCCCGGAGCTGCAGCCGGGCCTGGCCCCTACAGCCCGGGCAGTAGTGTTTTCCCCAGGAATTGTAATGGGAAGGGGGGATGGAATATTTGGGGGGGAGGGTCAGGGCCGAGGAGGGTTGAGACCATCAGGGTAAAGGTGGGCTGCATGGCACTATCATAAAAACTGAAAAATGTTTCATGACCATTTTATTAGATTTAACTCATGTTTTAAAATCATCACAAAAATTAAAGTTGGCTACTCAAGCCTACTATGAAGCACGACATCTTGGTTTCTTGTTGGAATTTTGCACAACTCATTGGTGTCTTCTTGTGTGCCCGTTACTTCCAGTCCTTCATGATATGTTCATGATCAGGCTGAAGGCAACTTCTTTCAGAACACAAAATTCTATTCAATGAGGAAAAAGAACGCTCAACTGTAGCTGTTGTGACTGGGAGCAGCAAGAGATGAATTTCTACTTCTTTCGTCCCAGGAAAAATAGCACCAAAATTAGGTTGAACTACTAGTGATGATAAAGAAGTTGAAGTTAAATCTTCATTTGTTTGTCATATGATATTCCACTCTGTGTTCAAAATGTTCTATTCTGTCCTGATCATATCATAGCCCCACGGCTGGTAATGCCTCACTCCACTCAACTGTAGGTGTTTTATAAGACAGGCATCTGTAAAAGCTATGTAGAGGTTGAGTAGAATCCAGAAATAGCTATTGTAGATTTGTAAGAATCAAGTCTGTGTACTTTTTCAGCTGGCTTAACAAACACTTCTTGTCCTCTTCACTTAAGGACCTTCATTAGTTTACTTCTGGACTGAAATCTTTGCTTCTTCAGTACATTTTCAATGGATATCTCTGATTGATCCAAGGGTAGTTTTTACTGCTTGACAAAGATCTACTACTGTTGTAGCAGATGCCTGGATGACATTGTTTAATGACCCAAGTGGTTTCAACAATAGACTTACAAGAGAGAGAATGGTGATAGTCTTCTCTGAACTTAGTAAAAAAAGTAGTCCACCATTCTCATTACTTAGATCTGTCCTATCTTGGTGGATACTTTCCAAAGCCAGTAATAATGATTGCAGTAATTTTAAGACAACAGCCAAGAATTGCTCATGAGAAAGCCAGCAGGTTTTCCAAGGTTTGAACTTCAGTCCCAGTGTATCTTCTATTTGTTTCCAAGACTTCAGTCTTTTAGGGGATGTATCACTCGATGATTCCCTATTCTGTTCATTCCCTCTGAAGCACCTGGAATAGTCAGTGTCGGAAGACAGGATACTGGGATAGATGGACCATTGGTCTGACCCAATATGGTCGTTCTTACATAAAAAATAATAATAATAAAAAAGTTTAGTACAGAAACTCCCCAAGATAATGACCTCTTGAGATAGCAATGATGTGAGATAATGACCTTGGCAAATAATGCATTTTAAAAATCTTGGCCTACTAGGAAATGTATATTTATATAAGTTTATCAGTCACAAATCTAGCATTCTGGAGCGAAGTCACTAAAACATAGTCCAATGCTCTGACCGCTGTTGTTTGTCGTGCCACCGTTCACTCTACCGCTCTTTCCCCAATGTCCCTGCACTGTCACCTTCTGCTGCCACCTGCCACTGTGACCTCTGTGAGTCGGTCTCTCGCGGTTCCATCCAGCTCTCAGTGATTTCAGCTCTCATTGGGGGAACCTCACTGCTAGTTCAGGCTGGGCTGTCTCTTCCACAGAAACACTGTCCCACAGCAGGTCTAAGCACTTAGACCTGATTATCAGTAATTTCAGCTCTGGGGGTCACTTAACAAACCAAAAGACTCTATGGAGCCTAATCATCTCTCTCTCTAAACAGAAGACAGGGGCAGGTCAAATAGTGCCTGTGACTCTTTGGCAGAGCCCACACCACCAAGCAAAACACCTGTGCCCTACCCTCTCTCTCTTCACTAGGATATGGCATCCAACTCTCCTGCTTAGCAAGTGCAGTGCAGTTCAGTTGAGGATGACCAGTGCTTAATTTGAAATGAAAGAGGTGCTGGGGGCTCAAGCAAGTTTGTTACTTTCATAACTGATGTGACAAGCCCAGAGGTCCCAGAACTATGAACTGTCAAGCCTAGGGGTGCTAAGGCTCTGCCCTGGCAAGCCCTAGCACAAATTAAGCACTGAGGGAGACCCCCTCATTCAGTCAGGCTAAGTTCATTGACATTAAAAGAAAGACCTGAAAACATCTCTGTTCAAATTGTTTTCCAAATAATTTTTCTTAGCACAAAACATAAATTTGATGGTTAAACTACTTGACAAATGTACTTTGCTGCCCTTTACTCATACAATAAGGATAACAACATTTCATGACTCACACATTTAATACTTAAGTGATTTGTAACCCAACCCCAGCCAAAATTGATCACTTGGGCAGTATAGCTCTGTCTCCTGGATACCTAGGCAGAGTAGGTGTGTTCATGTAAACACAGTCTGGTCCTGAAGCCTTTCCACCCACCACTGGCTCATCACTAGCTGTCAAGGGAGAGCTCATTCAGACCTTGCTTATAAATAATCATTTGAAATTATTAGGTAGGCCAATATAGCCAAAACAAATGTGCCGACATTGTCATAAATAACAGCTGTATGACGAAGCTAGTCTTTGTTCATACTTTTCAAACCCATTATGCTTTCTCAGGTACAAGTATTTTCTCATATACTGCATATGCTTGTAAAGTGTGTATTAATGTTTCAATTTCAATTCAAATTTCCAACCAATGACTAAATTGGCAACACTGCATGTAACTGGGGGGTGTTTAAGGAAATCCTTGCTGGGCAGCCTCCCCCCAGCAGCGGCCGACAGGGATTTGCTCCGTTCCCTGAGGGGCTGCAGTAACATGAACCGGGGCCTCAGGCAGCAGGGGGGAGGACCCAGCCCTGTTGCAGCTCAGACCTCAAATGCATGGAGGAGGCTGAGGATTGCAGTGTAATGGGGGTGGGGTAGAGGAAAATAGGGCCGTAGCCAGTATCTACTTGGGGCCTCAGAGCACCTCAGCAACTCCCGGGCTCACCCTCTGGACCAGCAGGGTATCCCGGGGGGTGGGGGAGGACAGGCTGGCTACTGACACACCCACCCTGTAAGGGGGGAAAGGAGGAAACAACTCACTAGGATATCATAGAACTGGAAGGGACCTCGAGAAGTCATCGAGTCCAGTCCCTTGCACTCAAGGCAGGACTAAGTATTCTCTAGACCACCCCTGACAGGTGTTTGTCCAACCTGCTCTTAAAAATCCCCAATGATGGAGATTCCACAACCTCCCTAGGCAATTTATTCCAGTGCTTAACCACCCTGACAGGAAGTTTTTCCTAATGTCCAACCTAAACTGCCCTAGCTGCAGTTTAAGCCCATTGCGTCTTGTCCTATCCTCAGAGGTTAAGAACAATTTTTCTCCCTCCTTGTAACCATCTTTTATGTACTTGAAAACTATTGACTCATATTTAGCTTGTGATCCACTATGACACCCAGATCCCTTTCCGCAGTACTCCTTCCTAAGTAATCATTTCCCATTTTGTATGTGTGCAACTGATTGTTCCTTCTTAAGTGGAATACTTTGTATTTGTCCTTATTGAATTTCATCCTATTTACTTCAGACCATTTCTCCAGTTTGTCCAGATCATTTTGAATTTTAATCCTATCCTCCAAAGCACTTGCAACCCCTCCCAGCTTAGTATCATCCACAAACTTTATAAATGTACTCTCTATGCCATTATCTAAATCACTGATGAAGATATTGAACAGAACTGGACCCAGAACCAATCCCTGCGGGACCCCACTCATTATGCCCTTCCAGCACGAATGTGAACCATTGATAACTACTCTCTAGGAACGATTTTCCAACCAGTTATGCACCCACCTTATAGTAGCTCCATCTAGGTTGTATTTCCCTAGTTTGTTTATGAGAAGGTCATGTGAGACAGTATCAAAAGCCTTACTAAAGTCAAGATATACCACATCTACTGCTTTCTCCCTATCCACAAGGCTTGTTATCCTGTCAAAGAAAGCTATCAGGTTGGTTTGACATGATTTTTTCTTGACAAAACCATGCTGACTGTTATTTATTACCTTATTATCTTCTAGGTGTTTACCCACTCCAACCCCCAGCCAGCCATGGGGCCAAGGAGAAGGAAACAACTGAGCACTGCATCTGCCCATGGCAGCCCCGTAAAGGGACCAAGGAGAAGGAAACAACTTACCATCGTATCTTTCCAACCTCCAACCCACTTCAGCAAAGGCACTGAAAATGGAAGAAGCAACATATTACTAGAGCATCCTATTCACCTCTACTTCACAACAGAAGCATGGGGGAAAGGAAGCATGAAGTCTGATTGTCACTCACAAGGAGTGGGGTGGTACCTGTGTGTTAAGAAAATAAAGGACTGCTCTGTGAAAAATGTCAGGCAAAAGTAATTGTTAAAGGACACCAGGCCACAATATTTTTATTCATGGAACAAAAGTTTACACAGTACAAAATAATTAATTTATGTCAAAGGGTTTGATTGTTGGCATAATTATTGCTTGAAAACACATTTTATCTGATTCAATGTTTTGTGGTAGTTCCTTATTGGAAATGGGTCATGGACCATTAGGCATCAAATAAAAGGCATCTCTCAAAATACAGAACAGGTGGGCAGCCATGCATCACTTCCTTATGGCAGCTTGGAGCCCTGCTTTTGATTGGAGGTCCCCACAAAAATAATGTCGCTGTATCCATTTGGAAGCAGATGTCATGGCAGAAACTAGGTCTTTAAAGTCCATCAGCAGCCTCATTCAGTGAGCTAATGACAGCCTATTAACTGACTGACTTCACTAAGCATTAATAGGCTGTTATTAACTCTCACTGAAGAAGGCTTTAATCATGTTCACGTACCTGGCAAACTCAGGCTTTTTATGGATTTCTCAGGCCCTCAAGACTATTGCATAAGCAAATATGTGGACTAAAAAACTTAGGTAGCCCTGTATATTCCATAGAGTTTATCTGGGCACTTATGGTGTCCAACACTAGTATCTTTGCACATCACAAACAATTTGTCCTCACAAAACCCCCTGAGGAAAGGAAGTATTATCCTAGTTTTACAACTGAGGCACAGAGAGATTAACTAACCTGCCTAAGGTTACAAAAGAAGTGGTAGATCTGAGAATTGAACCCAGATCCACAGGCCTGATCCAGTAGTTCAACCACAATGACACATGTTTAGGATATTTTAAAAACTCACCTTGTTCAAACTGTCACAATTCTATTATACACTCACAAGTATAGAATGAATTGTCCAGCTCAATTACACCCACCAAAAAGCCACATGAGGATGGGTGCTTCTGGCTTTCAAACTTATGGCTGAGCTGAAAATGCACCCAACACTAGAAAAATATTAAATTACCACTGTGGAGGGAAACTACTTGTTTTCCTTCAATGCAAGACTATGTATAGCGGTATTTTTATAATAATATACAGAGCGAGTTGATAGTCTTAAGCAAAAGGTACAGACCTATCAACTTTTCAGAATTTTTTTTTCTTGAAAGTATACAGCATCCAAGCATGGTAGGTCTGGGTGTCTTCGTCTTTGCTTCTCCCTCTTCCACCTGTCCAGCTTTCCCTTTTGTCAATCGCTTCAGTGAGGACAAGGTAAACTGGCAAGTAATTCTGGGTTCATTACAACCCAGAATTCTCCTGTAGGCATAGGTGGTTCCATGTGGATAAGTCAACAGGACCAGGATCAGCAGGCAGAAAGCAGGTATTTTGCAAGGTATTCTGCATCTGGGCACAAAAATTTAAAATCTCTGTAGTGCTACATCCCTATGCACATGCTTCTCATTTTCCACCGAGGCAGGCTTACAACCTGCTATTGGGAGCTCCGTCCCCAGGGTGTACAAGTAGCAGGGAAGATGGAAAGAAAAAACCCTGTGGAGAGATGGGGGAAGCAACCAAGTAGATACTACATTTTGAAAGCCCTGGGGGAACCACAGTCAATTCAATTTTTGAGACAGATTGTATGAAAAGCAAATAAAATACACATTTATTATTAACTGTGAAACAACTGGTGAAAAGTGATGAGCGGCAGGCCAGTTGAAAGTCTGAGTAAAAATAAAAGGAAAAATTGGGGTGACATCATGGTAGGGGGTCTACCACAGACCACCAAATCAGGAAGAGGAGGTGAATGAGGCATTTCTAGAACAAACAACAGAAATATCCAAAACAAGACCTGGTAGTAATGGGAGACTTTAACTACCCAGCCATCTGTTGGAAAAGTAATATAGCAAAATGCAAAATTTCCAATATTGGAAAGTATTGGGGACAAATATTTGTTTCAAAAAGTCAAGGACAGCCATTTTAGATTTGATTCTGACCAACAGGGAGGAATTGGTTGTGGATTTGAAGGTGGGGGGCAATTTGTGTGAAAGTGATCATAGAATGAGAGATTTCATTAGTCTAAAGAAAAGAAGGAGTGAGAGCATCAGAATAACATAAACATAAAACTGCGAGCAGGACACCCACCCCTGAGTGCATGAGGCAGAGTTTTCTGCCTCTTGTTCTTGAGTTCTACAACCAAAAGTTCCTTTACTGTGCCCCTCTCTGTTCCCCCACTCAGAGTGGTTGTCCTTGGTCAGTGAGGACCCAGGGTTCAGAATTGCATCTGTGTGAGTTCACCTCCCGCCCAGGGAAGAAGACACTTGACTTGTACTGCCATATGAGCACCTGTTCTGGCTGGCCACCCTGCCAGCTGCTGTTCCTTACTGCCTGGCTGCCCTGCCATCCTCTGTTCCTTGCTGCCTCCTTGCCACTTTTTGTGTCACCTACCTCTCTGCTGTGACCTCTGTAGGTCAGTCTCTTAGGGCTGGTCTACACTGGGGGGGGATCAATCTAAGATACACAACTTCAGCTACAAGAATAGCATAGCTGTAGTTGAGGTATCTTAGATCGACTTACCTCCCGTCCTCACGGCACAGGACCGATGGCCGCGGCTCCCCCATCGACTCCGCTTCCGCCTCTCGCCCTGGTGGAGTTCTGGAGTCGATGGGGAGTGCGTTCGGGGATTGATTTATCACATCTAGATGAGATGCGATAAATCAATCCCCGATAGATCGATTGCTACCCGGCAATCCGGCAGGTAGTGAAGACATACCCTTAGTGATTTTTAGCTCTCAGTAGGCTGGGCAGAAACACTACCACACAAGTACTGAGTACATCACTGAGTACTTAATGTAACAAAAAGCTTATAATTAAGCCTATTTAGCTCTGTCTTTCAACAGTGGGGAGGAACAGGTTAAACCAGACCTAGGGAACAACCCTTAGGGAGAATCCACATCTCCTGGCTAGAACATCTACCCCCCACCCCTCTCACTTTCACTGGGTTCTGGCATTTGAGCCCCTGACTTAACAAGGTCCTTTCAGCTGAGGGTGACCTCCTCATTGGGGACAGATTAAGTACAGTTCTGCTCCCCTTTATTCATACAATAAAGACAACATGGATAACATCATTTCAGTACCCCTGCATTCAGTACTGAAATTATTTGTAACCCAACATGTGCCAAAGCTGATCATTTTGAGGAACACCACTTTATCTGCTGGATATCTAAGTAGATTAGGTGTGTTCATATAAATACAGTTTGCTCCTGAAGTCTTGCTACCTCCCAGCTAGCTGTCAGGGGAGAGTTCATTCAGACCCTGCTTACAACAGGAAGAACTTTCTAACTATCAGATAGTTAAGATCTGGATTAGGCTTCCAAGGGAGGTTGTGGAAACCCCATAATTGGAGGTTTTTAAGAACAGATTGAACAAACACCTGTTGGTGATGGTCTAGGTTTACTCAGTTCTGCCTCAGTGCAGGAGACTGGACTTGCTGGCTTCTTGAGGCCCCTTCCAGCCCTACATTTCTATGACATTTTCAGGTATTATACATATATTTGAGAAAGAAAATAGCAAAATTTCTATCATTTCCATCAATTTATACAAATTTTCCATCTTTAATGATATTACTAGTATTTCCTTCAGCAGTGTCACAACTCAAATATTATTATTTTTAATGTTATTGTGCATAACAATGATGTTACTTTCTCAATAGCAAGCTATGATACAAGACAGCTGAAACAATGAGACTTCTCTCCCTCCTCATTTTAATCTCTCCTGATATCAAAACTAAACATCTCCCAACATTTACATTGTAAGGTTCTGTATGTGTATATTTCATAGGTGGCTGTGACATAAGCAAACACACCAGAAGTCAACCATCAGTCTTATGGAGCCCTAGTAGGTCAAAGTATTTTCAACCCTACGGCAAGGGTTGCACGCACACACACACACACCCCACCCACTTTTTGAACAGGAGGTCCTATCCATTTGCTGTATCAGAAAGAAGGCCCCAACTCCAAGTCACTTTAAAAGCAGCATTTTTATGCCAGAAGCCTTTTCTTTGTCTATTGGCCTCTGGAAAACCCAGTTTGAACTAGTATATGTGAGCTTCCCCAGGGGAGGTATCTCTCTGGATATGTTTACAACCTGAGTGATTCACCTTAATCATCCTGAGGATTTGGCCTGCAGAGTAAGGACAATTGATGAGTGTATTCAAATATACACTATTTTGTTTGGTCAGAGTCAAGTTACACACTCAACAACACTGATATTAACCAGTAAGAACTGGAGGACTGAATGGCTTAGGGTTTCTGTAATCTACTACGGAGCTGCTTGCTGCTAAGTCACAGGCATAAATTCAGCCAGGTCAGAAATGACCTAAAGCTATTACCATCTGATTGTTGCCCAGCAGCCTATGGGGAAATAGTTGATGGTCTCATTCCAGTTCCTAGTAGGCAAGTAACACAAATCACCAAAATCAGGAGCATCAGCCAAGAGGTTAGGAATTGCTGTAGTGGAGTTTATCCTTTTCCACTACAAATAGTACACCCAGATCAGAGAAGAGACATACTATTCTGGTGATGTGCGGAGCACCTTCTATGGCTAACTTGAAGAAATCAGTTTCCAGAGCAGTCAGCTGAGCACCACTAATAACCACTAAATTCACTATTTAAAAAAAATACTAAAATTAGATAAATTGGTTCATCTTTAAGAGCTAAATCAGGACTCATGACAAATGTTTTTAAAAATTAAAAAGACAGCACATGCAAATTATTTATTGTTATTAATAAATAATGCAATAGTATTTTATTACAGAGTATCTTGGTAATATCAACCCTCTTTTCATAAATAATCAGTTATGATTATTTTATTTTTGTTACATAGCCCAGATTTTCTTTAATAGTTCTGTGTTTTTTCTGTAGAAAGTCCACCTGGAATTTGGTCCTATGACTACTTGGGACTAGTTCCAGGCATTGATTAAAAGTGTTTTCAATCTGCTTTGCTGCCTAATAATCCTCATCAGTTACCTTTCCTCCTGCCTCCCACCCACACAGAGACACATACTACTTGTGCTTTCTAAGACTACACTTACAGAATCTTCCAGAGTCCATGATGGTTTCAGTTGAGCTTCCTCCCGCTGAGAGGACATTAATATGGCATCAAACTAATTAGTTCACCATCTTAAAAGAGGAAGTTTTCCAGCTGAAACTTGCAGGAGTGCTTTACACTTGTCAATTTCTCTCTTCTTGTTTTTCCACCTCTGATAGGTAGC